TCAGCCAAAGGGAGAAATAAAGTTTAAAACCCGTTTATTGCTTACAAACTGCAGTCCGGGAGTTCTTTCCTGCACTGGCAGAAGCAAGCGAAACCTACCCCCAACCTCTCAGGTTCAGATAAACCCACCGTGGACAAGTAATTGCCCATTGATATGGAGATGAACTGCTTCTCTCCACCCCTTAGGAACGCCTGTTCCTGTTCATATGGAGATGAACTAAAGCCAGGCAAGAGATCCTGGAATATTACAATTTTACCCACACTCAGGTTCCTGTGGGAGCATCTGATTGGTTCAGGTTCTGTGCCTGTTCTACCTGGGGCAGGGAAAGCGGAACAGTGTGGGGCAGCCCCCTGAGCTTCCTAGTGGATTGCTGACATTGTAGCATCCTTCAAATATGGAAAGGGGGTTCCAAAGGAGGACAGCCTCCAAAATAACACACATCTACTACAGAGAGCTACTGTGACTATTATGTGGTTCTCAGTGAAATAGCTTTATAGCTAGAAGGGAGCTTTTAGCTCCTTACTTCAAAGTTTGGGAAACCAAGTTCCCATGAAATGCCTTATGCTAGATTGCACAGGAACGGAGAGCAGTCAAGTCCAGAATTTAGGTTTCCTAATTGTCAGTCCAGATCTCCTCACAACATTCCTTCCCATCTGAAAATGAGTATGATGATAATCCTTCCTGTCTAGAACAATCCTCATTGCTTGGGTGTTAGCTCAAGCTTCATTTCCTGAGGGGAGCCTTCTGTCCCCAGCTAGTCCAAATTCTGTCTTAAATTGCCATAGCTCTTACCATAATTACAGTTTTGTGTTTCACTATAAAAGTATTTGTTTGATGCTACTGAGACAGGGACTGTGGGTGTAGTCAGAGTAGGGTGAGGGCTTCCTGAAAAAGCAAGGCAAGATAATTACAGTCAGAGTAGTGTAACAACATGCAAGGAAACCCCCTACCAAAACTTCATGTTAAACATTAAGCTCTAGAGTAATTCTTCAGTGAGATCAGTTAATATTCCCCAGACACAGGAAAGTAGCCCACGTTTTTTTTATTATGCTAATCATTTGTAATCATGTGTAAGATTCACTTTAGCATGCTAAAAGGCCCAGGCCTATGTGCTGTCTTTCCTCCTTCAGACCTGATGAGGTGATTTGCAATCTGGGTGTGGGTAAAACTGTAATATTTCCAGAATATCTCGCCTGGCTTTAGTATATCTGCATATCAGTAGGCGTTCAGAGGGGGAAAGAAGTATGGCTTCAGTGTATTTGCATAATTTCTCAGGGGTGGAGAGAAGTTCATCTCCACATCAATGGGTAATTACCTGGGCAAGGAGGACTTATCTGTACCTGAGAAGTGAGGGGACGGCGGGTTTTTGCTTCTGATGGAGCAGGAGAGATGGCTTAGACTGCAGTCTGTAAGAAATAAATGGGTTTTAAACTTTGTTTCTCCCTTTGACTGATTTCGGTTTTTAGAGGTATTTTGCCCCAGGATTTCCTTTCCCTGGACTTACAGACTGATTTTGGTTTTTAGAGGTATTTTGCCCTGGGATTTCCTCTCCCTGGACTTACACTGGGCAATTAATAATGGCAAGCAAGCCCAGCTGTAAACAGCATAGTAAAAGGCAGGAAGGATTCCATCTTAAAAATAAGATTGCATTTTAATACCCTGGAAGTTAAGAAGTGGTATTCTTAACTTACTCTTTAGCAAACAGACAATAGCTCAGCCCACCTTGGGGGCTGGGCAGGCAGTTTGTTTGGTATACTCCCAGATCAAGACTCCTTGATCCCAGATCAAGATGCAGTTATCTCAGAGAGCAGTAAATTTCTTGTGTTAATTTTAAATATTCAGGGACCACTTAGCAAGTCCACACCCCTAAGCCCTTTATCATGTTCCCAAAAATCCTCAACTGCCTATAAATTCCCTACACAACTCACCACCCCAAGCTCTCTTGTCCCCTCCTTGCCTGGGCCAGGAGCTCTATCTTCTCACTTTATCTTTAAATAAAAGCGTCTCCCTGGCTCTCCTACCTTAAGTGTTTGCTAAATTCATTCTTTGACTCCGCAAACAAGAATCCTGGCATCACTATGTTACCATTAGGGTATAAACTCCATGAAGGCCCCAGCTTAGCACAATGCCAGCACATAGTGGGCCCTTGGTGATTATTGGATCAGTGAAGAAGTAAATGGAGATAAGATACTGCAAGAGAGCTTACAGACTATAAACATCAGGAGAGAAGTAGAGACTGGAGGTAAGGATCTAGGAGTTATCAGTGTATGTATGTGGGTGTTAAAGCCATGAAAATGGTTAAGGTGGCCCAAATGCTTATGCACAGAGGACAGAACAGGGAGAATGGATGTTGGGTGACAGCTAGCATTCATCTTCTCCCCTAAAACTGAGCATTGCTACTAGGTAAGGCATAATTTCTAACAAGTGTTTAAATCCACAGAGCCCAGCACAGTGCCTGGGAGGCGAACTTTCAAGAAATGTACCATTCAGTTTTATACGCTATACAGAATTATCACAAAGCAAGAATCAGACTTCAGACCTCCATGATCAATCTCAAAGATAATGTTTTCATTGTCTTTTATGAAAATCTAAAATGTCATCCACCACCCTAACCCAATCTTTGCTTTACTAGGGAAGTGTGTTTTCCAACTTCCCATCTGTAAAACATTCCTTCCCATCTGTAAAATGGGTAGAAGGTAGGTAGAAGACAGAGTTGTTGGTGATGCCAAGGTCTTGGCCCCATCATTTATATGGAATTTGACTTGACAGGACGGATTATAAAGCAGTAGCTGAGACTTCAGGCTTTGACTTCAGGGCTGCCGTCACCTTTCCTTTGTGAGACCGCAGGGGTATTGCTTAACCCTCAGGGTCTCCTTCAAGAAGTGGAAATGCACTTCATCCTTCACATAGTTTGTAAGGATGCAGTGAGATAATGCCTGGAAAGTGCTGAGATTCCTCAGCCTAGCACAATCAAGAACTTGTCAAACTTTACTTTTTACAGCGTGCATTAAGCAAACGGCAAGCTCTTTCAAATTTCGTTTTCCAAGTATAAGACGTTTTCATACTACCCCTAAAATGGTCCCATGATCCCGCCGCAGACACAAAGCGCTACTCTCCTTTACGACAGTGTACGACGCCGAGCCTGACAGGAACACCTTGGCCCATGGGGCCAACTCCGCAGGCCAATCGAGCTGCTCCCAAGCAATGACGTTACTGCGTCTGTGCATGCGCAGGGTGGGGAGACCTTGGGGAGGCGGCGGAGCAGTTTAACGGAGGTGAAAGCATCGGCGGAAAAGAAAGTTCAGCGGCAAAATGCAGAGCTGGAGTCGTGTGT